TGTTCAATTTCTTAATGCCCACTCAATCCCTGGACCCAGAAGTGGAGCTAAGAAATTTTCCAAGGAGGGTTGGGCAATCCTCCTTTGGGGCCTCTGACTGAGGCACGAGTTCCATATTTGGCCACCATGTATTTGCCATCAAGCTTGACAGATTATACACTTCTTCGAGTATTTTCGTCAAGACAAATCCACCTGCAAGGACAAGCTGCTATTGTCTAAGAAAAAAATCACTTAGTCATTTATTTTAAAGTTTAGTCACATAGACCTATATAAAACTCAAGATCATGGTGGCTGGATGTGGAGATCTTTTGCATCAGAACCAAGAGCAAGTTCAGGACACTAACTACTACTATATCCACATCAGTTGAAATAACTGGAGCCAAGAAATCTTTACTGCCACAAATCTTTGTCTTGCTCCAAGCCTACATTGTCGTTGCGAATTCATTCACAAAGATGGATAATTAAGACCTAATGTACTTGTGGACTTTATTGTTAAGAACAAAAATCCCCAAGCCTAGGGAATGAATCATTGTGGGATTAAGTATTTAATGTGGTATTGCCATTGCTACTGGTCCAGCGCCTGCTGTGTAACGTATACAATTTTTGTCTGGTGCTCTGGTTCTATGCTTACTTATCACTTTGAATTTGTATTCATAAGATGGAATTTACACCTATTGCGATTTCTGAATTTTTATTGTTTCCCTTGAAAAGAAAAACATGAATCAAGTGAGGAAAGTGAAATATCCTGTAACAGTAAAAGGATAATCTTACAATTTTCTGGACGTAAAAACTAAAAATGTCGGCCACAGGTCTCAATCCTTGGCCATCATGTTTTCAAATGGTATTTTGGAAAAAGAGGTCAAGTACTCATAGAACAACATGCATCATATCCTAAATATTTATACTTTATTCTATCAATTCTTCTGCAGTTTGATTTTCAATTATCAACTGCCCATGATGTGTTTGATAGAATACATAGTATAAATATTTAAGATCCATATGACACACTTTGCTATATGTATGTGACTTTTTTTCCAACTACATGTAGGCCTACCTCTGCGAATGAAATGGGCCATGATGATGATGGGCCAGCTCTAGAGCCAGATCTTAACCAAAGCACTAGCTTGGCCAAGCAATCGCTTGGTTTCAAAGCTTGAAGTTAACAAGCTGACAAGTATGTATAGTATTGGTTCAACACAAGCGTTTAGAAAGGTACACGAATAAAGGTAAAATATATGCCGGACGCAATCAGCGAACCTGCGCGATTAGCATTAGTCGATCCTGCATGACATCTCATCTCGAAGGCTACGATCATGACGATACGAAGCATTCCAATTTACAACTAGGGCCCGGTAATAGTAATACAAGTTACGTTAGTCGTTACCGATTACGGAGTGAGGCCACCCGCCACATAATAAACTCATCACACAACACTCGCTCCAGACACCAAATGGTAAGCAGTCGTCTACAGACATAGCTAGAATTTCATCAGGGTCGAGCTAAAGTTGGAGTTGGAATTCGTGGAATTTCTTCTCACTTTAAAGTGTCTTCCCCATGGTCACACACTCTACACTCAGTATTTTTTTAATCGGCCGCGCGAAAAGAGAACAAAAGTAAAAGTATCTAGACTCATCGCAATCAAAATGCGTTGTTTACAAAACTTGTAACTGGCTACCAGACTACTAAACATTAATTGGCCGATTTTTAACCTACGGCTACATTGTCAAGGCGGATCTCTTTGTACGGCGCCGCAATGTATATTTAAAAACAGTTACTCAAAAGAGGACAACGTGCTAGTTTGAATAGAAATGAGTGCGGATAAAATCTGGAATCTTTTCTTTTAGCTGGCTTCATCCAAGGTTTTGGGATCTGGATTATGTCGACAGCACTTCACATCACACCAAGGTCAGGATTTGGAGAAACTGACTCATAACCAAAAACTTGGATATGATGCCCAACTCTTTTCTCAGTCACTATATAGCATGGTAATGATGCCTCGACTCAAGAGAGCTTAGGACGAAATGTTAATCGTTATTCGATGTGTATTGCTAAGCTGTGACTAATTCCCTGATAATTTTTACGCTCGCCACATTGAATTTGCCAAACTATTGGCCTGTTGTGCCCAGCAGATCCTTAAAGAACTAAAAGGGACACGTCCTACTTTGACGACAGGGACTTTTTTGTGGCTGAAAAAATTCCAAGCAATTAAAAACAGTAATACTGGCCAAAAAAATATAAAATATAACAAATTGGAACAACTAATATAATACTCTCTTTCATCGAAATGCGGGCTTTTCCATTCAACAAGCTAATCTTTTGGATTTAGCTATTAGCTTATCTTTTGGATGTTTAGTTGGATGTTGAAAACTGCATTAGACTGTTGAAAACTCCCTCAAAAAATATTCCTGCTTGCATTTAAAGATACCTAACAAAAATTGTTCGTTGGAGTGCAAAAAAAAAATTAATTTCAAAACGCGCCATTCAAGGTATTCTAGGTCGTAGGGTACTTACGATTTGAATAAAAATGTATTCCTCCAGAAGTTCTTTTTAACCGTTTCACTTCTCCGTGTGTCTTGTTTTTATGCATACATTAATAAGTATAGCAACTATACAGAATTACCCCCCCCCAAAAAAAAAGGATGCTAAAGGGGGGGGCGACAAAATGGGGAAGGGAAGACATGAAGGGTGTAAACGTCACTGATTTTGCTCAAACAAGCTCAAAATGCCCCCCTCCCACATTTTAATTGTTTATCAGTTTTCAGAAGATGAGTGCTTCGCCCCCTGGAATAAAAGTAGTTTGCACCCCCCCCCCGGGAAAAAATCATTTTCCCCCGGGCATACGATATCTCTAAGAAAATGGTTAATCTCACTGCACAAACATTTCACGAAGTCACTGTCGAAAGCCAACCCGGACAAACGAGCTTTGTTCAAACTCGTGATTACTTTTGTCTGTTTCATATTTTCTCGTATTTTTAGTCTAACCTGAATAATAGTTTCTATGCCTTTTCCTGGGCGAAATGTACACGCCACATTTCATTGATATCGAATTCTTCCAAAGTTGGCAAAGAAATGTTTTGGGGGGAAAAATGACTGTCGATAACGATTATGAATAATTGTGTGTCAATGACATTCAATTATTTTCGTTTCGCACCACCAGCGTTCTGCGAAACACGGTATATTGCCTCAAATTATGGTCGGGCTGAAAATGCACAAGAAGTAATTTTAAGTGAAAATATTAATGCTATTTGGATTAAGTTTATCTTCTGACATCTGTGAAACAATCTTTACTTACGTAGGTCTATGTATCTCGCCTTTGCGTGAAAGTCCAAACCGAATAAAGCTGAAAACTTGCGACAAATAATCGTCAATTATGCTTTTGATGTCCAAAAGTTTCCAAACTAAATTTTATGACAGTTCCTCCCCGATGAAATTATAATTATAGATTATTTTTCGTTAAATGCTCATGAATGATCAGGTCCAAATTCCTGACATTCTCTGGCTATATTATGTTGAGATAACACACACGCCCATGAAGATGCTACATGTTGAAAGATGAAAAGTTAACGGGATGACAATTCGAAGGTTTCCTTTCCCAGCAAAACTTACCGCTTTCAGGCGATTAAAATATCCTCATGTCAAGCAGACAAGGATGTCTCTGCGTTAAGTAATCCTGGATCTTTTGTTTCCTTCTCAATTCTTCTGTTTTCTTCTTCGATGACGCGGAGGCAAAAGACAGCGAGACTGGAGCAAAGTGGAGAGACGAGAGTAGTTGTCCAGAAGACGAACTCGATCGAGCTTAGGCGAGACACACCGTGCGCAGAACGGGGAGAATTCGTCAGGAATTTTCCTTTTGCCGGCTTAGACTTCACTGCGCATGTTCTCTCAGTGCTGCCGCTGCACGCATTGCTGATAGGGTCAGAAGAGATATGCGACGGCTTACCAAAAAAGGTTCGCGCGCTGTCGGGTGGGGGACCTGCGGTGTATCAGCGTTTAATCGGGCCTTGGCCTACACAGAAAGTAACTTGAAAAGACGAGCGAACATCATACTTCGTCAGATGGATTTGTGTAAACAACTTTCAGTTGTAAATATCCCCCTATTGATTATTTTGTACTTCCGTAAATCAAATTACTTTCCATACGTGTTATGTTTAATAGCAAATAGGCGGTTGGGTATTTCCTACTACATGTATGCGTCAATGCTATAGACATCGATTCCTATCCTTTTTAAGATAAAGTTCTGATATCTTAACGATTATTTAATCATTGGTTTTGCTTGACATGGAAATAGTGGATCCCACGCAGTGGTTATGAATCCATTCTTAAAGGAAAAAAATCATAATGATTTTTAATATTCAATAATTATAGTTTAACTTTCACACTTTTATTGTACATTGTTTCCCTCTGGAATTTTAGTTTTGGAAAGTTGGAATGGTGAACTGCCCGACAGAATCCTGGAATTTAATTAAGGCCGAGTCCTCTTACAATTTCTTGTGTGAGGGGAACTCCGCAACGTCATATTTAACTCCAGTTTAGACTGTGGCCAGATTTTGGCCCCGCAGTTGAAAGGGAATTAACTATAACACAAGAAACTTCTCACAGGTGTATATGGTCTAATACATCACTTTGGAGGCTTATAATTATGACATAAAACCCTGTCTTTTATTGAAGGTCGCATATGATTGTAGAAAAACCGACGGTTTAGGTTATTCTCTCTTTCCGATTCACGTTATGTATCGTTGAAACGTCCACAAAGTAGTTTCTGGCTTCATTCCATACGAGTTCATGCATGGCACCTATGCATTCAGAGGTCGGGTGAGGTGTTAATGAACCCTGGGATTATGACTGCTAAGGGGTCAAGGGAATCAACACCAGGAATAGGAATTTTAATTAGATTCCCGTTTCGGTATGGGAATCCACTACGTGATCGCTGAAGGAAGAGATTAGTTATGACACAATGAAGGAGATGTTACTGATGGTTTTAACGAATGTTGCCACCCAAGTGGGCGTCTCATAAGTGGAATCAATTATTTGCATATTTGCATGTAATCATCATGGAGAATAAGAAAGTACACAGATGGCAATGGAGAGTGGGGTGACGTGCGGAGTTGGTTGTCCTGGTGGATTTTTTTAAATGCTGATATTACAAACGAAATACAATTATTGCTTTTTTGATCATACTTCAGCCTGCAACAGGGACCACAATCTTAAACCTAGTACACAACACAACTATAGGTAGGCCTGTATCCTACTCGACCATGTCACATCAAATTTGTTTGTTTCACCATAATTATGCGACTGCGAGTTACTTGTTCCCCTGAAATTGTTTTGTAGGCTATCAAAGTAACAATATACACGGAACTCAGATATTTTGGTCAGTTGAAAGTAATATTCCTGCCCAATCTTTACCAAGAAAACTGAAATCTAATTAATTAAAGAGGACTTCTCAAATTGAGGACATACCACTGCAGTAAGTGACCTTACTTCATCAAATACCTTTTCAGGAGGAAACAAGGCTGCTTTCCACTTTTTTTTTACCAACGACCTGACTTTGAAGTTAGTGCCACAGGGACATCAAATTAGATGCAAAAGAGTAAAATATTACAAAATTTAATTTGATCGCTTCAAAACCTACGTATCACTCTATCAGGGATTGATTTTGAAAATGAACCCAAGCGGAGATGAAGTTGAATATTGGAAAATTGCCCTGGCCAGCTTTTTGTTTTTTTTTCTACGAAAAACTTTGGGGAAAAAAAGGAAAAAAAACAAAATATAGTTTTATAGAGAAAGGGAAGAAAGAGTCCTGAAGATTATTTCGTTTCATTAATTTTTTTCTCAAGGTACAAAAACCAACACAAAATACAAAAACCAATACATATCAATATATAAGGTTAACATTTGCTGACACCCCTGACGGATAGCCTAAAAGCGAACTCAGTCACTGTCGGGAGGGTCTCCATAAAAATGTCAACAAATACAAGAAAAACACTAGATAAAAAATGACTAAAAATGCAAACATGCACAAAAGTAAAACTAGATAAATAAACAATGGAGTGTACATTTCTGAATGAAGCCACCCCTCTATATGCCCGCAATTTGGGGCTTTCTGTGAAAGAAATACCCCGAACTGGGAACTATCAGTCCCCAATTTGGGATTTATAGAAATATTTCTATGATGCCTCCTGAATATGGCATGTCATTCAAGACAAACGCTGGATAAAAAATGACTGAAAATACACTAAATGCACAAAAATAAAACTAGATAATGGAACATACAGTAAAAATACAGGATCAATATTATGGCATCAAACAATGTTAGCCACAGGAAACAACCAATGGTCTCGTAACTTTGAAATAAAAGAATTAAAACTGAAAACAATTTCTGACTGTAATATATTTGAATATATTTGACTGTATAGTCTACTAAATGATTTATTTAGTACCCGTACGCCGTCATACACATCATCAGACGACACCGTTAATCCCAAAAGCCCGCCACCAGTGTTTAAATGTTGTCAAGTAGTGTTTCCCTGGTATCTCAAAAATTTATATCCACCATTATACGTAATGGTCGCGTACCAGTGATAAGATTAAAACACCGTGCGAAGAGAATGAGTGGGCCAGGTGATGATCCGGTCCCCTAAATAGACCTAAGGCTTCTATGATGTTGTCGAGGTTAGATACCAGACACGAAAATCATCGATTTCCGAAGCCAAATTTGGGACGGAAAACAAGGGTTAAATGCTGGATGCTTTCTGCCGCTTAAGAGGTAAGGTGCACTGTAATTTTTCTTTTACGATGAAAGGATCTCTGATGTAAGTCAAGTGTTGTAACTGGTTGTTTATTGCACTATTTAACAGCAATTCGAGTAAAATAACAGTTCCAAAACCAATTCGGATCGAGTGCGTTGGAAATTCGCAATCGCACACCATCTGCTTGTTCAAGGCCTGACAGTATCATGCATGACTGGACAACCTGTCGATTGTCGGAGGAATTACCTCGATTCTCCTGTTTCATGTAATGTACTTTACAGGCCAGATTGTGTTTGTTGGATCGCGCTCGTGGGCGGGGTAAGACTACATGGGTTCATCATCTGATCATAGGATAGGAAGGGCAAGAACTTTGGAGAGAGATCCGTTTTGTTTACTTGTTGTAGGCCTTGGGGGCCCAGGCCTACTACAAGAGTACAAGTAGGCTAGGCCCTAAACAGATCTCTCTTCCAAGATGTACTTCTGCTAGTAGTAGGCCTTCATCATGCCCTTAGCCCAACGTTTTCAAAGATCAGGCACCAGATAACCAAGTAGGCCTACATCAGTACTTGTACCTAAAGCTTTAAAATAGGGAGCTTGTTTGTCCATTTTTATGCTTCGTCCTTCAGCATTAACTTGTGTAGCACGCAATGAGGCCTGCCAACATTAGCAGAGTCAGAGACAGTTGCAGTCAGCATGATGATTGACTGAGACTGGCAAAATATGCCACAGTCTGACAGTCGTGGAAGTGGCAGTGATCAGGTGATAGCCCTCTAATCATGATAAATGGAACAGTGTCTACAGTGCGTGTTGTCAAGTTTTATCTTCAACAAACTTGAATTTTTATTTCTTATTGGTCGATCATGGCAATCATGATTGTACAGCTAAGTTATAGCTGTATTTTACGGTTCATATGAAACACTGCGTAATGCGCTATTCTAAATCAACAAATTGCATTTTTTAATGCAAAAAGCAAAATGCACATATCTGCATTATTTACAGTAAATTCAGAGGTGATCTGTTTGCACACTTTAGGCCCCTATAAGTTTACTGTGCTTCAAGCGTGATGATTTCATTATCACGCTTGCGCTCGTGGAACGTGTCAGGCACCAAGGACTATAATTTGTATGTTAAGCAAGTTACCCTCTGACTTTTTCTTATTAATACAAAGATAACCAACAAGTAGAGTATTCTTCCACAGAAAGGATGAAACGTCAACACCAGGATACACGACTGTGGCAGTTATTTGTGACTCATCTTTTCTCACTGCGATCAACTACATGTAGTTCACCAAAATGGCACTGAATCACAGGGATAACTCAAGGGCTCGCAGTCTGTCCTCCAGCTCTGCGTCAAGCTATCACAGCCTCGACCGAGGATCTTCCTTGACTTCAGAGATTATGCCCATCGGACAGTACAATTCCAAAAAGGTAATGAAGACCTAAATTGCTCATCACAGGAAAACAAATAAAACAAAGTCATGCCTTCTCAACTCTCCTCAGATGACGAAATTCTCTAAAATTTTCTAAAGGGCAAACACAGTGTCTTCAGTAATTCACATGTCAAGTTTTAGGTCTTAATTTAGTTTTCACAGGTGACTTCTCTGAACCATATTTCACTTCAGAGTGACTGG